AGCATATGTTTAATTGATTTCTATTTGATCGTGCTAGGCTATATATATATATATATATGAACGACGATTTTCACTCAGTCAAATTTCTCCTATTCTCCTATTTCCATATCTTCCTGGAAAATTCGTTTTTGGTGGTGTGAATGTTAAAAGTAAGGAAAATTATGCATTTACTGGCCCAATAATCAAAAATTTGTATTTTGCCTTTAATTCTTAAGAATACCTTTTAAGCTATAGAGTGATGTAGGATATTTTTCGCTTAAAGGTAGATGTTCGAGACTACTTTTAAATTATATATGTGAGATGTTTTCACCCTATTTTGATTAGGTAAAAAAAGGATAGGAATACCTTTTGGAAAGCAAGAGCATGTGAAATATAATGGAAACGTAAGGTCTACTCATTGCATTATAGGAAAAAATCAACTAGAAATCGTCCAACACCTCAAACGAAATATGGTGAATATACCTTGCATGTATATATAATATATAATACTATAAAATATTTGCTAATGTCCCGACGCTAATGTTTCATTAGCAAATGATTCATTCAGCTTGCTGGAGAATTGCCTTTTTGGGTGGTGTGAAAGTAAACCTCGAGTACTCAGCCCCGAGCTGTGGACAGATCGAAATATTTATATATTTCCGCAACTAAGATAGACAAGGTACACAGAGTATGCGTCATTCGGGGCAAATTTCTGGTAAGCATGCGTCCCCATCTTGTGCATACAGTCCTTACTTAAGTAATTAATGTCAGAAAGTCATTCGTTATGATATAAATGTTGAATGGAAACCGAAGTAGGTTTATACTTTTCATGTAAACATGATTTCAACGAAAAAGCCCTCAGCGTACCGTTTTACATCGCCAATGTATCCGTGCCTAGCTTTCGTCTCTTCTATTGAGACATGCATTATCAGAGCGAAACACGTTTTATTAACAAAATTTAATAGACACTAAGCTGAAACTTCTTTAGCTTTATCATTTTGGTTCGACCTTGTTTTCGCAACTTGTTCGGAGTGTCAAGGAAACCTTGTAGAACGTACCTAGTCCTCTTTCCTCTGCCATATTATTCGTGATTTGCAGCTTCGGACGATTGACTTGATACATTCCCAAACGTTTCGTTGGCATCGTCAGTGATAGGCGCCATCGTTCCGGGCAAGGAACTAGTTCTACCTGTTGGATAGAATTGGGATTAGGTAGCAAGATGAACCGCATAAAAAACGTAGGAGACCTGGCTACAATGGGGTCTGGTTAGAGCCTAACCATTTCACTCGATTTATCAGCATCGCATGCATACTAAATACGAATAATGACACAACTGAACATACATTTAAGTTACGGGATCATAGTATAGGCCATTCAAGAAGAAATTTTTCTTTTGTCACGTTTGCTTCAGCTTATTTTATTTGTAAGCAGGTAAGAATACCCAGTAGGTAGCATACCAAAGCGCCGAATGTCTAACTTAGCTTGCAGAATTAGATCAAAGAAGATTAGCATGCATACAATAAATTTTGCTAAGGAATGTTTTTCCACGCCAATGCTACCTGTGTCATTGTTTAAAATTCTGAATAAATGAGATAGTGAAGAGAACCTGCGCTCCTTTATTTAGTGTTTTTTGAGGCGATTGTTAGTAAATTATGTTTTTTTTCTCTGGCGATGTCTGTTAAATGGCGGACGAAATCACTGATTCATCGGGGTTGCAGGACAGTGAGCCTAGGCCTTTCTAGTGCCATACGAAAGACGTAAGTTCAAAGCAACTCGCCTTCGGTATCAGGTGAAACCAATTTAAGAATCCATTCCACCCGCCTTTTCAAACGGAATTAGAAGTATGCCAACATCAAGTTACATAATATATATTCAGTAAATAGGCCGGATTTAGGCTACACGTCATTATTTCATAGTTTACACCCTATCTGTATCTTAATTCATCCTATTTCTAGAACCCCATCGCATCTTAGCATAATATAGCAATTACTAGCTGGTTGTTAAGTCATAAAATCTATAATATATGACACTATTGATTTAATCACCCTAAATTGAGCAGTGGTCAAGAGCTTTGCATCTTGGTGATAGAGATATGTAGTCGTAGAAGCTTTTTAGGAAATAATAGTGATAGAAGTATAGCTTTATAAATGACTAATTTCACTATATTATACCATTTTTCTCAATTCGATTAGACACTTTATTCGTCTTATTTATTCACATTTCACAAGTTCTAAAGGCTTTGGGGACAAGTTCTAAGTTCAAAATCCACCGTTTGGTAGGGCTAGGATAGGAAAATTGGTTAGACCATTTATAGAATAGATAAGAAATCATAGCAATAATTGATAATGGGTTTTAGTTTTTTATAGAAGTTGTTTGACCTTGTTTTCGAAACTTGCTCATATTGACAGGAAGACTTAGAGGAACTCACCTAGTCCGGAGACCATTGTTGGCATGATAATTTCCAAATTCGGACCGTGGACGTGGTACATTCCTAGACGTTTCGCCGGCATCGTCAGTGAGTCTTGCTACTCTTAGCACCACACTACAACTAGTCAGAGACAGGTCAAGCCGATAATTTGATCAAATTTCGGCTAAAGAGTTGTGGTATTTCTCCTTCTGTATTGGGCTATTCACCTTGGCTCTATCCTCGTATCACAATTTTTCCTTGTTTATTTAAATGTAGTGTGGTGTGCCCTTTTGAGCGACTTTCATGAGAACCCTCTACACTCCACAGTAAGGTTCTCACACTTTTTCACCCATGTGTTGGGAATGTTGACTAGAGTCTGCCATATTGTTATGCCGTCCTCCTTCCCTAGGTCTTATAAAAGTCTCCATCTTGCTCCTTAGGATCCGTCTGCTATCTACCTGGTTCAAGTAATTCACTCGAACCCTGCCATCCCATCTGTGCTACTCAAGGCGTTATTTCCCACGCTCAGCGCCTGCTAGATTTACTTGAGGCTAAAGACCCCGCGTAATTCTCAAGGTCAAGCCTTTGCTTCATGGACCAAGCCAACTAGCTCTAGTCTCCACCGCATCTATCCTGTTTCTAACCCTAATGCCAAGTCTATAAATTGCTATGCCCTAGTCTTTTGTGTTCCAACCAACAAATTTTGTGATACTACTATTTTTTATTAGGTTTAATGTTGAAAAACAACGTTTGTGGGTTCGCACACAAGGGATTAGGGCACAGAAAGTCATAGACGTGGTAGTACGGATAGAAACAGGATAGACGCAGTGGAGGCTAGAGATAGCTGGCTAAAAATATATGTCCTTAATGGACCATGTCTATGAACAAAGAAGTATATTCAAAGATATGAAGACCAAGATGGTGTGGCCTTTTGTGGGGTCACAGTCTCCTTTCGTTGTATA